ACACACACACACACACACACACACACACACACACACACACACACACACACACACACACACACACACACACACACATGGTTACCATGGCAGCAGCCCTCTGATTGGCTGCCAGCAGCAGACGGGTCTACCTGGTCAGAGCCAGAACCATTTCTGAGCAGACAGTTGGAGACGGCGCCATGACGACCAGCGGCTCTCCGAGCAGCGTCAGCTCCCAGAACATCTGCAGGTGGATCAGAACCGACTGGAAACACCTGGACAGAACACAGGTGAGACTCAGTCTGACCCGCGGACCTTCAAACAGAACCTGCACAGGAAGTGGCTGACCTGAACAGGTCCAGTTCATGGATGGTCGGCAGGACCGTCGGGGCAGGCAGGAGGTTCTGAAGAGACAAGAAGTTCGTTAAGAACRGAACCTTCAGAACCGAGGGTCCAGGTGACACCGTGACCTCTGACCTCTGCGGTCTGCCGGACCGGACTTCCTCCTGCTTTGTCTGTCCTGGAGGGAATCCTCACCTGAAACACCACAGAGCTTTCAGCCAATCACAGCACAGAGTCAGACAGATCACCTGAAGCCAAGCCATGCCCCTCTCCACTCACCTGTAACATGACACCCATGACGGGCAGGTTGAGGGTCTGCCCAGGTGTGGGGGTGGGCCACTGGTCGATCTCGTTGCACACTGCGAGCACAAACAGAGCGTTAACACAGGTGTGACCTGATTGGCTGACGGTTGTGATGTCATCATGACATCATCACCTGTCTCCAGGCACGGCTCCAGCTTCTCAAAGAACTCAGGTGCGATGATCTGCAGCAGCGAGTGGAACAGGTGTGTGTACGGCAGCCTGGACACCAACACCAGGGACTGGAAGGTACACCTCCATGATGTCACTGTCACATGACCAACACAGACCAGGTGTGTCCAGGTGACTCACCTTCTGGAAGTAGCCTCTCTTCACCGACACGTCCTTCACCTGTCTGAAGTAGACGTAACCCAAGAAGTGTGCCGTTTCTCTCTGTGGAGACACACAAACACCTGAGAAATCTCCCCACACCTGTTCACCTGTCTGCAGGTGTCTCAGGTGTGTCTCAGGTGTGTCTCACCTGCAGCGTGACGGGGGCGTCTCTGTCGTTGGCGTCCTCCCTGGACGCTCTGCGACCCACAGACTGACGTAACCTGAAGGTGAACTGGGTGTCACCCAGACATCCTGTTGAACCACACAGACACACCTGTGACCTCTGACCTCACCTGAACTATCTTACCTGGATTTACCTGAGTACGAGTCGGGGAAGGACAGGTAGCAGATGCTGGTTTTCTGACAACAAACCACAGAAACACAATTAGACCAAGAGACTAAACCTGTAACTACAACACAGTATTAGGGCCAAACAACGAGATTTTTTTAAATTATGAGATTAAAGTCGTAATGTTACGAGATTAAAGTCATAATGTTACGAGATTAAAGTCAATGTTACGAGATTAAAGTCAATGTTACGAGATTAAAGTCAATGTTACGAGATTAAAGTCATAATGTTACGAGATTAAAGTCAATGTTACGAGATTAAAGTCATAATGTTACGAGATTAAAGTCAATGTTACGAGATTAAAGTCAATGTTACGAGATTAAAGTCAATGTTACGAGATTAAAGTCGTAATGTTACGAGATTAAAGTCATAATGTTACGAGATTAAAGTCAATGTTACGAGATTAAAGTCATAATGTTACGAGATTAAAGTCAATGTTACGAGATTAAAGTC